GGCAATGACTTGCCATATGTCAGGTATTGTACCAAGTTATTCACATTTATTATTTATTTTAATTATCTCACCATTTTTATGAGGTAGGTATTATCCCTGTTTTAAAGAGGACCCTATTACAAGTTAGAGACATTAAATCACCTATTTAAGACCCCCAGTGTTTGTTTCTGAAATCCAACTCAGGTCTATATAACTTTAGAGCACAAGTTCTGGATACCTAAAACTTCTTATAGCATCCAAAGGTCAATAATTGTGAGTTTATGTCAGACTGTCATCATGAATAACTTGATATTTCAAATTGATCAAACTATTGTGATAGAGAAAGTCAGGCAGACTGGATATTGAAATATGGCAGGTGGAGTAGAGGATGATTTATGGAGAGCTGAACATATGAAGAATGTGCAATTGAAGAAGGTTGGTTAGATAATTGAGGAAGGTTGGTTAGATAATCAAGGGGAAATGGGTTTGAAGGGACTGATTCTCAGAAGACTTGAATCTGGGAATAGTTTTTTCTACACCATTGCTCAGAAACTCAGTCCTTTAAATTCAGCTATCTTTTAGGCTATGCAGAGCCAAAGTTGACTGCTTGAGTGGTCTTTCGTCTTCTATTCCCTAAACAGAGAGTGGTCTCAGATAATATGCTAAGTATCTCTAGTAGCTATGTTCCAATTTAAGATGAGATAGAGAAAAGTTCATGGCCCTCTCTCCTATCAACTATTCCTCCCCAACATCTCAATCCCTTCTTGATCCAGCTTTCTGTATTTCCTACCACCAGGTTAGTCAATTGTTTCTTACCTGTATTAGAAATCCAGCAGTTTTTATCATCACATTCACACTTAAAAATTAATTTTAAAATAAAACATAGTAAAGTTTTGCCTGTTAAACTCATTGGATGCTATTTTATGAATAAATGATATCCTTCTTGAATATGGAATGGGAAGAGCATGACATTCAGCTAATCCATCTGCTTTCTTAACATTAAGTCATTGTTTATCACTTGTATATTACTAAGTTAGTATAAACAAAGTTGCTTTCTGCAAAATAACCAGCTGAGAAGGAATGTTTAGTATAAGGTGGTAGAGCATTGGTCAGACTTTAAAAAGGAAATATTGGGTTAGAGAAAAGGAATTTGAGATATTGAAGAGAAGATATGATGATACAGAGTAAACACTTAAGCCATTTAAAAAGAGCATTCTTTAGTGGAAAGAAAATATTGAATATTGAAAATATTGAATCCATGCAGGTTAGTTTAGCAACAATAGTCTAATTATCTTTTTTTTGAGTTGGAGTTTCACTCCTTCGCCCAGGTTGGAGTGCAGCGGCATGCATGCTCACCGCCACTCCAGCGTCGACCTTCTGGGCTCCAGCGATCCTTCCGCCTCAGTCTTCTGAGTAGCCGGAACTACAGACACGTGCCACCATGCCCAGCTATTTTTAATTTTGTTGTAGAGACGAGATCTTGTCAAGTTGCCTGGGCTGGTCTCGGACCTGTGGGCTCAGGCAATCTACTTGCCTCGGCCTCTCAAAATGCTGGGATTACAGGCTGAGCCACCGAGCCCAGCTGTAATTCTCTTTTAATCCTATTATGAACTTGTAGCAAGATCACATGTTTACTTGTACAAAGTCATATGTGCAAATAAAATGTAGACTATTCTTTCAATAACTGATATTATTCTTCTCATAATTGTCATTCTGCTTTATAATGGGGAAAATCAAACTAACATTTAGACAAGTCTAGTATGCTTACTTAGAAGAATAAAATCACAGTCTTTTAAAGTAAAAGGTCATTTTCTTTAGAAAATAGCTCAGTCCATTAGAGTTCGGCTCCTCCCTCTTTCCACCTTTGATCCCTTTTAAAGCAGTGTCAAATATATGGGTGAAAGTACTTTATTTGACCCATGGCGATGAAGGAAGACAGAGCCCTCATATCTGTCTACACAGTGTTTTCTGAATGCTTGGTACTCTCTGCCACAAAGTGGCCAAACTGGGCTACTTTATGGACATGAAAGTAATTTCATCTCTGAGCATTCTGCTAACCCTTGATGCTAAACTTTGTAACTTACATGACTCAGAAAGTGGTTTTTCTATTTGGCCAGGACTCGCTATGCTCCTGTTGTAACTTAATCTCGTCTAAACTTTGGGTTGTAGAACTCATTGAGTTTCTTGTTCTTTTTCTATTCATTCCTGGCCAAGCTTCTCACACCACAGGGCTCAATCATCTCGCCTCTGGTCACTGGGGACCCAGGACCACACATTAACTCTCAGCTCAGACTTCATCTGTATGTTGCTTTAGAAACATATACGATCTTGGATTTCATCTTTATCACACCGAAACTGAGAGTGGTCCTTCTTTTGCCTTACCATCCTGTTTGTCTTTGGTGACTTTAATGTTACCACATACAGCTTGTTTTGTAAACAGCCATTGGGGCTAGTCATTCAAGAGCCTCATTGTGAAGCAGGAAGAGGCCTTCTGCCCTTGACATTTTCCCCAATGCATCACCAGCAGCAGCACAGTAAGAGAATATCAAGACACACCTCCGATCATCTATCTACTCTATCTCTGTATTCCTTTGTTTTCTCTCTCTTACTATTTCCCACTTTGTCTTCCTGACTGAGCAGAACTTTCTTTAGGTAAAACTCTGTGTTTTAGTAAGTTACCAGGGCCTAGATCCTGGAGAATTAAAGGCGCATTAATGGGAAATAGAAAATCCTTTTTTCTCAGCCAACACCCAGATTTTATTGTTATTATTTTGATAAAAATGTTGAAGGACTTAAAACTGATGTCTTCTTATTCCCCCCATCCCTCCACAACTTCACCCTCCCACCCACTCAGCTATGTGCCTCATAGTGAAAATTTTGGAGTAGAAAGCTTAATTAATGTATGGTTTAAGGAGGCAATTTAAATGCTTTGGCTGATTGTTTGCAAAGTATTTTCCCTTTGTGCTACCAAACAGTTTATGTGGACTGTAAGTTCAGTGTCTCTGAGTAGAATAGCAGAAGTTCTGTAAAAGCACAGAGATAATTTAGGTATTAAATGACTTTTGCTCAACCTTAGCATAGACATGCACTAAGAGTTTAAATAGCCCTTTACTTGCAATGAGATTTAGGAGACTGAGGAAATCTGAAAGAGATTTAAAATTGTACATAGAAAGCTAGACATTTAAAGCTGTTTGACAGATAGTATATGTCTGTTTGTTCTCTATTTCTTCTAGCAGGAAATATAGGGGAATGTAATTTTCCAGAATTTCCTGATTTAATTGGTACGGAAAGATTATTAGAGCAATAGTCACCCTTCTCTCACTGTTTCTACAAAAATCATTACTTTCCTAAAAAAAATAAAAAATAAAAAAGATCATTATGGCTCAAGTGGTTAAATGGGCACTGACAGTGGTTGAAATTTAGGATAGTGGACTGATCTGGAAACAGGCTAAGTGTCCAGGCTATTTTGCATATGCAACTTAAGAGCCCACTATGTCCAGAGTGTTTTCTGGTTCTTCAAATGGCTTGCCTAAGACATAGTGAAATTTATTGGTCTTTCTTGTAGCATGGAACAAAGTCTGTCAACTATGCATCAGTTGTTCATACTTAATATACACAGTATCAAATGTAACATCTCTCTCTCTCTCTCTATCTATCTAATCTATCTATCTAATCAAGCTGATAGACCTTTTAAAATATGATTTTATCATTCCTTTGCTTAAAGCCCTTAAGAGGCTTTCCATTGCCTTTAAAATGGAAAAAGAAATCCTCATAAACATAACAGATAAGGTCCTGTCTGGCTTGCCCTCCGCCCACCTCTCCTATTTCTTTTCTCTAACTCTCCTCTTTTCTAACTCTCTACATTTTCTTCTCTCTGATCTCTCTTTCCTTACTCCCAGATTTTGCAAATATTTTTCATGGTCTCTGGGATGCTCTTTTCTTACTGTTTGGTTAAGTCCTACTCAATCTCAGTCCTTGATTTAAATGTCACTTTTGCAGAGACATTTCTCTGATCTTTAATCCAAATTAGTTTGCCTTATGAGTCTCTCTTTCAAAACTCAAAAGCATTTATCACAGATTGCAATTAAATGCTGATTTAAGCATTTTTGGGGGATCATCCATTCCCACTGTACTATACATTTCATAAAGTTAAGAATCATATCTACTTTGTTTAATACTGTATACCCCAAGGCCAGCACCACAGCCTAGATAAGTATGCAGCAACAGAGGGGCTTAGTGTGCAAAGCTAAGCAGGAATTCTTAGATTTATGTACAGCCATGAGCTTGTACTAGCACACTCGGAGAGTGTGTATCTCTTTAAAATTTGTACCCTAGACATCATTTTGATCACCCTAGTCCCAGCCCTGTCTGGCACAGTGTTTAAAACATATTAGGTGTTTAATAATATTTCTTAAAGGAATGATTAAATGACTGTACTCATAGTTGAAGTCTATTAGGTAGAATTTGACTTGGGAGTTAGGGCTATCCAAATGTTTCACTGGCCTTGGCATTCTTCCTTTATGAGATTCCCAGGGAGGTGCTAGTCACATAAAAAGCAACAACAAATGAGAATCAAAGAACCGTTTATTACTGCAGCCATAATTGGATTTTCTAATTCAAAGGTTCTGGTTAATCTTGTTTGTAATGCCCAGCCCAGTTGGAAGGCCTCAGAGAGCCTCTTACTGCCCTCTACCTCCAAATCTGAATCTCCATATTTCAGCATCCCCTGATTAGCTATGTGATACAGGAGACTGACACAGTAATAAGATGGTTTAAACACATCTGTGAGGAGGAAGAGGAGCAGTTTCCCTGCATGGAGGCCACAGGCTCATGCATGCTCTCCAATCCAAGGATCCTACCTCAAAGGAAATGTGTCTTGATTAGAATTCTGATTTGAACAGTTGAATCAGCCTTCTCTGTGGGGAGGAGAAGATGGTAGGAAAAAAAATGAAAGCTAACCCCTATATTTCCTATTGTATATTTGTGAAGACTCTTATTTTATTAGCTGGAAAAAGTGCACAATGTTTCCTGAGTCCTTTAAAGACCTAACATATTTTTAAAATTTCCAATATACATTTAATCTTCCATTTGATAGGAACATTCCCTTTGACTTGTGACCCTCATTGTTTCCTCACAGCAGTGGGCCTGTGCCATCTCATTGTGTCTCTCAGCGCTTGCTTCACCTTGTCATTGCGGAGAGTGAAGATGAATGGGTTCAGGAGGGGTGTGATGATACAGCTCAGAACAGAGGCACCTTTTTCGAGCAGCATGGACTGAGCCTCTGACATGCGTATGTAGAGAAAGATGGAACTGCCGTAGACAATGACTACCACTGTGAGATGTGAGGCACAAGTGGAGAATGCTTTCCTTCTCTCGGCAGCTGTGGGGGCTCTGAGAACAGTGGCAAGAATGCAGGCATAGGAAATTGAAGTCAGACCCAGTGAGCCCAGTAACACTGATGTAGAGAGCACAAAAGCCACAAGCTCCAGCAGACGAGTGTCCCCACAAGAGAGCCCCACCAAGGGCCAACTGTCACAAAAGAAGTGGTCAATACCATTGGGGCCACAGAAAGGCAGGTTGGCCATGAGGATGGTGGGGCAAAGGACCCAGAGGAACCCACCTATCCAGGAGGCCAGTACCAGTTGGGAACAGACAGGACCACTCATCAGAGTTTCATAGTGGAGTGGCCGGCAGATTGCCAGGTAACGATCCAGAGACATGACGGCTAGGAGGAAGAAGTCAGTGGTACCTAGGAGGAAGTAGAGGTAGGACTGGATGAGGCAGCTGGCAAATGAGATGGTGTGATCCCCACTGAGGATGATGGCAAGCATCTTGGGAACCACAACAGTTACCAGCAACAGCTCCAGGAAAGACAGATTCCGCAGGAAGAAGTACATCTGTGTGTGCAGGCGTCGGTCCATCCAGCTGAGCACAATAATTAGCAGGTTTCCTGTGGCTGTTATAACATAGATCACCATTAACCCCAGGAACATCAGGAACTGTAGGGTGTGGCTACTGGGGAAACCCATAAGGACAAACCCCGTTACCTGAGTCCAATTTTCAGGGTTCATCTCGAGTCACCTGCAGGGGAAAGGAAACAGAACTCTGTAACTGGGCTATAGCAACTAATCATCATATAATCAATCAATAAAATAATATCAAGTACCTAAAACTTCCTTATAGTCTCCAAATGTATTGACATATATTTCTGCCAGCAAGTGACTTACAAAGAGAGAAACAAATCATGATAGCAAGCACTACTGCAATAATAACATGGGTGATATTAAACACCAATTATGTATTAGGAAATTTATACTGTATGTAGTATCTCTTCTCACAGCTACTCTTAAAACTAGGTTTGACTGTCGTCATAGATAAGGAAAGGATGACTGAGAAAGTTTAAGTGACTCTTCTATGATAAAATAGAGAGCAGGTGGTAGAGGCAGGATTTCATGCCAAGTCTCTATGACTCTAACACTCGTGCTACTTCCACTGCTGTGCTAAGGTGGAGAAGCACGTGACTAGTGTGGCCTTTACAGGAATTAAGAGGATCAGAGGGGTCAGAGAATACCTTACAGAATAAATGCTCCATGAGCAAACCTTTACTGGTAGTAAGAACTCTTGTTTTAGTATATGTGACCCTTCTGTGTCCTGGCTTAACATAAAACAACAACAAAAATTTGGGCTTTCGGTATCTTCAGAGATTTTATTTTCATTAGTCAACCAGAAAGCCAAATAGGGCGGGTCTGTGCAAAGCTCCAATCCTGTCATAAAGTGTTCTTTTTCTTCGGTTCCCCCAACAAGACTTTTGCAGGTTGTAAGAAATCTTTCTGCTGAAGGGGACATTTACCAGACCTCTCTCAGCTTCAGCTCTCCCAACATTCTAAAGGAATGAGATGGGGAGGAAGGAGGAATGGTCTCAAAGGAGTGAATGTATCAACTTGTTTCAGTTTAGGCCTTAATTTGGAGATATATTCATCTTGTTCTTGAATTTTTGATATCTTGGAAAATTCATCCATAAGTTTTGAAGGTTGGGTTTCACTAGACATCTCGGTTATAGGATCCAGCTGGCAAATGAGATGGTGTGATCCCCAGTGAGGATGATGACAAGCATCTTGGGAACCACAACAGTTACCAGCAACAGCTCCGGGAAGGATAGGGAAATACATGTTGAAGCAATTTGCTGGCGTTCGAAAGGGCATAAAGCAATATCCATCATCCCTTCCGAGAGCTGGTAGGGTGCAAGTCAGGGAAAGAGGATGCTATTGTTTTATTCCTCCATGTAGTTTCCACATTATCCCAAAACTGCCATATCCAGCAACAAGTACTCAAAATCACATAGACACAACTTCTAAAGGAGAGAAAATGAAAAATATTTTAAGACATTAAGAATGAAAATTAACATTAAGTTATTTTGTTTAATTGACAAGGAATCAAGTGTTGAGGCTTTGACAAAACTTAATTCTGTGACTATTACTCCAGATTAAGAATTTTAAAGATGGGGAGAACAGATAGTTTCTCAATCCTATCTGGAGCTGCCTTAACAAAGAGTATTGACTAAGGCAAGGGAATCCAGGTTTGAAGGATGAGGAGAGAGGCACTCAGGGCAGTTCTGTTTATATAATTTTGGCAGGAGTAAGTCCTGGGATTTAAGTAGCTAGCCAATAATAATACTTACTTCTGCTAGTCTAGAGTCTATTTCTCCAAAATAAAATAAATACCTTAATAAAACCCAGAAAAGGATGCTAGAGCACTATTTCAGGATAACACAATCATTTTAGGTGAGAAAAATATGCTACTGTAGTGATTTCCAAAGTATCAGGTAAATATTAAATCATAAAGTCTGGCTGTCAGACAGTATCAGCTTCTCACTACTGCTATAAAATATATACACCAAAGTCTGTTATCTAGCATTTCCTTAACCATCAACCTGAACTTATTAGTTACTGAGAATCTTCATCTGTTGGCTGGCTATCTCTCATATAACTCCAGATAGTAACAATATCATCCTGTATACACATGTTCAAATTTTTGCCATTTTGAATCTCAAAATAATCTTATTAGTTGACCTACTTAATGTCTTGGATAATTTGCCTAATGTCATACAGTTAGAAATTGTTTGTGTTATTGTTGGAAATGGTTTTTCTTTCCCCTGTATTTTGCACTGAAAATACTACCTGAAAAGATGCAAATCAATGAAGGGAATTAGAATTGTGAGAGACACACACATACATTTTTATGTGTTCACACAGTGAATTTACACAATTAGATAGCTATCATTATTATCCACTTTGCAACTGAGCAAATGATGACACAGCAGGATAAAAAAAATGTCAAATCTCAGGGTAGGACTAAGATGCACATTTAAGCTTATCTGACTCTGGTGTCTGATCATGGCACTAGTAAATATAACTATAAAACTTGATTCTGTCATTCGGAGAAAGGATATGGATTTGGAATGCCACAATATAATTATGCCTCATAGTAATAACAGCTAGAATTTATTGAGTGGTAACTATATATCAGAGATTTTATATTCATTTCATTGTTAAATCTTTCAGAAACTATTCCAAGGAGCCACTATTTTTATCTCTATCCCACAAGCAAGGGTCAGGGTTAGAGAGACTAAGGATCTACATTAATAAGTAGTGAAGTTAGTGATTACAATTTTAGGCAGTCTGAATTCAGAGCTTGAGTTTTTAACTGCTAAGCCATAATACCTTATATGAGAGATATAGTTTGTAATTACAGATTTAATTTGATATGTTTCCATTTGCCTTCGTCTGTTGACTAATGATAAGTTTTCTATATATAGAAATTAATTTCAGTAGCTTAAAGGTTTAATACAGAAAAAATTAAAACACCCTTCAGGATGTGTGTTAGATTGGGCCTTATCCAAATAAGGCTTTCAGCCCCTCCTCCAGAGCAATGGAAGGTAGAGGTTATAGCCCTGATCATAACTCTTCATTCCCAGAAGATGGATTCCTTTCAGGCTGTAGAAACTTGTTTTTGCTTGTCCTTCAAGTTCTATCACATAACATGCTGCTTTTATATTATGTAAAAAATAAAACATTCTACTTGGATATAAAGATGCAATATTAATCAACTTTATTTCTAACCACTAACTGATTATAGCTATAGGAGCACATGTAAGTATGTACCTATTTTACCAATCCCCAGTAAGTATTCCTTCATAGCATTACACATTTGGCGTGCTATCCTAAATCCGATGGAATCATCAAAACCATCCTGTCTCCCTTCTGGAAGATGGAACCCTCCCACTAGGGCTTATCATAATCCTGTGCTATTTAGACCTTCTCTCAATTCCTTCTTCCACATGGACCATTTGGCCTTACAAATTTCTCCTTGGTTGACTGATATGTGCTAATGTGTATATTTAGTCTGCCAAGCTTTGTGACCTTGTTAGAGTCAGTGCTCCTCTCATGTCATCCTCAGTCAAATTTTTCCTGTCCTATTGACAACATCATTGCTTGGTTAATCTCTCTTTTCCCTCTTTACATGTAATTTTGGCATTTTAAAGTTTGAATGAGTTTTATACCTTATTAATCAAGGGTGAATGTAGGATTACTGAGTTGTTTCTAAAAGAGTAGAAAAACTTCATTAGAATCACTTAGTTTTTTCCTTAAAAATGCTGAATTTCTAGACTCTGCTTGTAAAAATGCAATCATTCTCTGAGGTTAGGACCCTGGAATATAAAGATTTAATAAATCTAGGTTATTCTTATTTACCCAAAAGTTTGAGAAGTACTAGTTTTGAGAAGAAAGAAGAGTGTTGAGCAGGTTTGAACATGGTTAGGGTAAAGGACTGAAGTACAAGGGAAGAGTAGGTCAAAGATTAGATGTATAAGAGTCCAGATATGGGAGACTGAGTTTTCTAAACTAAAAACATCTCCAACTTTTTAGTGTAGTAATAGAACTAATTTTACAGCTGACCCAGAGCAGCAATAAATCCAGGCTTCTGAATTCTGATAACATTCTGTGTGGTTATCTCACGTCCTAATATGCCCACAGAAAGGCAGAGATTTTTGGCTAAGTACTTCCATAAAGGTGAAGTTGCATCTTTGCTAATTTCTGGGTATTCTACTAGGTACTGGAGATGCAAGGTTGAATAACCTGCTGAGGTTTCTATAGTGTAGTTAGGGTTAGATACATGCAAATGATAATTTTCATTAGAACTCAATTAAGTCCATGATAAAAGTAAAATCCTCAAAATCCATGAGGGCAGGATAAAAGAAGGTGGAATTTTCTTTGAGGGACAGCATAGAATACTTCATACACTCGGCAACATTTTACTAGCATATGAAGAATAACTTTTTTAGATCAAGAAGAAATGTGAGTCTTTTAAGTTTAAAATGAATACCAAAAATTTTGAGTTTTTCAATAGGAAAATGAGATTATGAAAATGATCAAACGCCATTTAAAAATACACTCATAGTTATTATACACATGTATTTTGTTTTAAAGATAACAAAACAGAGTATACTATTTATTGAATAAAAAATAATTTAAGTTTGGTGGATTTAAATGCTCAAGAACAAAAGCTGGCTTGACTCTTAAGACAAAAGAAATTCAAGCTTTATCTTTGGGTCTTTCTTATCTCTGCTAGTAGTATCATAATATACCTATTATACAATATTCTTGCTTTTAAGTTATTGTCAGATAATCTTATTAATATGTTCACTTAAAGCAGATGTGAATATTTTTAGCTGTTTTTTATGTAGAAATACTTTGATTCAAAGACTTTAAAATAAAATGGCTAAACTGTAATTATGAGAATAAGATATTTCCCTGTAATTGTCTATTTTGGACAGGGTACTTTGTCTCATGTGCTCTCAAATATATTAGGTTCCCAGTTTCTCCTCTGTATGTACCTTGATCCTTACATAAAACTTAGTGATCGCTTTAAAAATAAAGCTTTCCAAAAGCTGGAGGCTTGGTACTTCAGCTCCTAATAAAAGAGAAAGCTGTTTGGCTTAGTTTTTGGGTAGCCAAAACATGAATATCAGAGTTTCTCATAATGCATTTCTCTACTTTATGGGCTCAAGTATTGGTTTATCTATGTAGAACACAACAGCTGAAG